TGCTGTCCTGAAACTTAAAGGAGGAATTCACGATTAGAATGAAGGTCGAAGAAAGGGAAACTGACCTAGTTGAGGGACCCACGGACCTCCTGAGGGTGCGAACTGACGCGCAATTCGCATGGAAAAATTTGACCTCGGCGACCTATCATGCCTCAAAGCTGGCGGGTCCGGCGATCTCCGCCCACCGATCATCTGATCACTCGCCGTAGTTCAATACGTGGCGAGTGATTAGATAGCTGAGAGAGCGTAGTGTTGAAGAGGGCACAGCGATGAGAGTCGCATCAATGCTCGAATCAACGGGCAAGGAAGGGGTACCATTTCTCGGGTTCTGGGCCGTTTCTCATGGTTCTTCCTTCTTTCGTGTACCACTCACCATCCCTAGGTTAATTTGAAATGGGTTGCTTTTTCATCGTGAATTCGTCCTTTAAATGAAAAATTTCTCAAGTGTTCCTATTGAGTGTATCACTGTGGTTTCTGCTATTGTAAGCTCGGGGTTTCCCTGCTCGATTTGATGGTTTTGTGTTTGTAGATCGCTGAACAGCGAGCGGTAGTAAGCAGACGTCTTAGCTTACTTGTCGTTCTAGGCAGGATTGTGTTGTTCACAGTTGAAAACGACATTTCTCATACTGATCCCTTCACAGCTTGCTTTTGCAATGCAATCAACTCCGCTTGTCGCTCAAATTGGTGCTGGCTATTCGGACATTTTCGCCGCGCGACCGCGCGCATCAGTGGTCTACAAGTTGCACGACCATGTCTTACAGACTACCATACAAATAATTTTGTAGTAAGAGCGGTCTTCTGCATTCGCTGTTCCCCGATGGTTCGAAGTCAGTCACGGAAGTAAATCGACGACCGCCTACTGCTGGTTACCTGTTCAAGGTAAAACTTACCGATGTATAGACACATACTTTAGACGTGATGTTACCAGGCCACCTCTTCAATCGAGCTTAACTTCAAAGTTAATAAAAAGGGAATCTAGGACAATGGCTCTCTTTACAGAATTCCATGTTGACGTTGGTGGCTCAGTTGGCCAGTAAGGAACCACATTACATTCGCTGTATCAAGCCGAATGAGGAGAAGAGCAGTACCATTTTTGACTTGGAGCGGGTGGAACATCAGGTTCGCATTTATCGGCTGTCCCATAAGTTGCGCATCACTGCAATGATTTCCTTTTGTTCAAGGTGCGCTATCTGGGATTGCTCGAAAATGTACGCGTTCGACGAGCTGGTTTTGTCTATCGGTGCGGCTACGATCGTTTCATCAATAGGTGAGCGAGATTGTGGTGTTTTTACAAGCCTTTGTCCTACTATTGCTGAACCTGAAGTGTGTTACAGGTACAAGTTGCTTTGTCCGGACACATGGCCAAACCCCCGAGGTGGTACCCCGCGAGATAATTGTGCACGAATTCTGAAGCACATTGGCATGCACGACGATTGCGTTTATGGAAAAACTAAGGTGAATTTTCTTGCCGGTGCTTCAAAAGTGATTTATTCGTCGGAAAACTACAGCTTTAGTAACCGGTACGTCAAAAAAGAACGCTATTTTTCAATAAGGTGGGCTGGAGTTGCGTTTATACTCGAAGAACTTGTGATGAGCTACAGCCGCTCCACCAACAGCGAGCAAAGATTCGTTTTAGTTATTCGTATGCATTCGAGAGGATGTGGACATGAAAGAGAAGAAGTGGGGTGGGCGACTCCTAGCGAAGCGATCGATATTCGGCTGTAATCGAGACTGTTTTACATGTGCAGCTGGTGCAAGCTCACCGAGTATAAACGCAACCTGTATCCAGACTGCAACTCTTTGAAATGACCTAATCGGGGTATATCAAAACCGCTCGCGAGTCGATCGAAATTCCAGCGCGCTTGCTGGTCACATGTGAAAGATGCGATTTCTCGAGCGGCTGGAGAAAGGCTAGAGAGCCAGGACAGGAATGCACTATATAATTCTTGGGTCAGGTCGACCGCACTAATTTTCAAGTACAATCTGTAGAATAAATTTATAAGCGTTTCGAGAAGCACTGCATCCCAAAAAAATGAACAAGAGAGATATAGTAGCAAAAAAACCGCCCACCAATGCGTGGTACGCCGCAGGGCCACGCTGTCCCTGAAAGTCGACTTGAAGGAATGTCTTGAAGGAACTATATCTGTTTGAGGTGTTCATCCGAAGTCCACAAACGGTGTTCCGCCTCGAAGAACTACGAAGCGAGAAATTACCAACAGTGGTCATTTATCTGCAGAAGGTTAGTCATCGTCTGATGCACTTCGAAAGAATGTGAACAAGAATGTTTCCCAAATGCGCCTCTCATCCGACGGTGATTCAC